CAGGAATGCAAGGAATAATAATGTCAAAATTAGAGAGAAAAATGAAATAGCAGAATAAAAGTTAAGGAAAGGAATATTCTGAAATGGTCGAGAGCTTCCACTAATATTAAAGAAAGCAGGCTTGACAGATTAGTTCTCCACCCGATTCAGGATGCTGTTACTATCCTGTGACTGATGTTTCTTATGATATAATAAACCACTTGTATGAGATTAGCTTATTATAGCCACTTGTGAACAAAACCAAAAGCCTGGTAAAATAACGATTTATGACTGCTGGAGAAGACTTCTTTTTCACTAAATTTCTCTGCAAGTGACAAAGACATCTAACTTAGCTGAAACTCCACATATCAAGCCATTCTTGGATCCTTTATGCTAAAATAGATAGGACTGATAGCACCAGTGTGCTTTATGACATCTGTGCTATATGAACATTTAAGAATTTGTTTAACATTTCATCGTGACTACAAACGCTTTCATTCATCTCCCTACAGAAACTGAACCAGAGATCCATTTGAAATCAGAAAATTCTGCCAGGGGAGTTTGCTCCCCTCACGTCCTGAGAAACAAGTGCCTTGAAATGAAGCACGCTGCAAGCAAGGAGGCAAGATACACAATCTCAGCTCCACGTTACAGCAGCACAGCGTGTTTGTTAGCGGCTACATCAACCACAGCAAAGAGCTGCAAAACCCCATGCAAACCACTACCAAATAACTCCGGTTAACCAAAGCTTGGTATAACTAAGGGGACAAACAGTAATTCCGCCGAGAGCGTTAACACGATACCAAGGATAAACATGTTTTCCATTGGCCCAGTATCAATTTAAAATCACTCTTTCATAGAAATCAGGAGTTGTTAACACTGAACTACCTGAAGCCATAAAGCCTGAGAAAGATTTGGAAGAAACTCTCAACGTTTCTCTCATCTCCAGGCTAATATACACATGACTGGCATATATTTGCTTCCTTTCATGTCTATCTTTTTTTTTTTTTTTGGTAGCTGAGATGGGGCCATTTCTGAAATGACTTCACCCCATCCAAAGAACTGTGAGAAATGACATTAAATAGCTATAGCTCTGTAACAAACCATAAGATGCAACCAAGAAGGAGAAACTTCTCTCATTTGTACCAGTTTCACACTGTATTAATGACAGGCTTTTCAATGGAAAAAACTCGTTTGCTGTGTACTATGTAAATGAGACACCACCAGCAGCATCTTCAAAGCAGGAAGTAAAAGCGTGTAAGTGAGCAAAATAAACTTTATAGTGAGATAAAATCATTATCCCACTCATTAGGTGGACCTAATGCATTACCTCTGCTGGGACCTTTGGACTCTGAAACATGCAATGAGAGAAATTATTGAGGGGAAGGGAGGAGGAAAACAGAAATCATTAAGAACTCTGGCCTTTAATTTTTGCTTTAAAAACCTACAGATTGAAACATCCCACAGTTCTCTCCAAATAGAAGTTGCTAAAAGCACTTTATCACCTGCACATATTTTAGCATTCTTTACATGGATCAGATGTAGCAGATTTAGCAACCAATGCTAGAGCACTACATCAAAATTCTATTATTCCATGCAATTGCATTATGCATTAAAATGCCTTGTCACCACTAGATTCTCCCTTTTAAAATGACTACATGCTCGCTGGGCAGAATAACTATCAGGAGAAGACCCTTCAGTTTACCTAAGATTTGGAAAATAAGTTTAAATTTAAAAAATAAGTTTAAATTTAATCTTTCACTTTTTAAAGAAATACTTTTGATCTATACTGTTGTTTTTAAGGAGTGTAATGGGCTGAATTATCACCCACCACAACCTTAAGACTGCTGGTTTCCCTCTGAAGGTCAGAGACTCTCTTCTCATAGGCCTCTCTTCTGTCCTAGAGGTGGCCCTGAACTTACATATGAACCCAAATTTGTCCCTTACCCGGAAGGTTTGCATCCACCCAGGTGACAGTCTTGGAAGAGCTCTGAAGCTTGACAATGAGAAAATTTCCCTTGATAAATGCGCTCCTGAGTGATGGATGGCTACGTTTAATCTCATCTGCTCAACTCAGGTCTGCCATTGTACGTCCCAGAGCGGTTGGCAGCAGCGCTGTATGACTGATGACAGCCTGGGAACCTTCCCAGAGAGGTGTAGCCCAGCACATCCAAAGCTAGTTACGTCCTAGGAATAGCCCCAAAGATACAAGGAGCACATGGGTGCGCCCCATCTTTTACAGACGTTTCCCACTTCTGCCCCTGTAGCTGGTATAGTATAGTCACCGTAGCTACTTTTTTTCTACAGAAGATTTCCCAGGAGATGTTCAGATACTTACCCGGTTACTGCTCAGGTTATAAGGGGGTGCTAAATCTTGGCGGCTTCCAGAAAGCTGAAATAGTTATGACAAGCAGAATTATTTCTTAACAAAAACTTAACTGATAAACATGCCTCTTGACAAACGCAAGGAAGGGTGAAAAGAAATAGCTTTGCAGTTAAAGCAGAACTGAAATCCAAGAGCTGAAAGGTGAAATCTCAATTATTGACCTGGAAGGAGCCAGAATTTGACAAGTTTGATTACCAGTTCTATCAAAGGATTTCTTTCCAAATTTTGTAAAACAGAAGTCTCATCCTTCTTATGCACAACACTGTTACAAAGTTTAAGTTCAGTAAATACTTTTAACTTGCTTTCAAATCTTCTGAAGAAAAAAAAAAAATCCACAGCTTGATAGCCAAGTGAAAAAACTTCCAGTGTTCAGGAAAAAAAAAAAAAAAAAGGCAGAAGTTCTTTTTACAGTGCTTTTTCTGATAGTCTGGATTTATGGGGGTCCCTTCAAGCATACTAGCCTGTATGATGAAAGTATGAATATGTGCAGATTTTGTCTCCACTTAGCTATTTACATGCTCACAAATAGCATGGTCAAACAGAAGGAAATTTATTGCTATACTCCATGACTCTGCCATCACAGGGACCTGTAATTGAAAGACTGGACCCGCTGCCCTCACTACGCTGCAGATGCCAGCATGGAATACTCACCCGATTCACATTGGGAGAGCTCAGGCTCCTGCGGTAGAGTTTTCCTTTTCCCATTAGCTGCTCTTTTACAGCAACTTCCTGCCAATCATAGAGAAGCAAAACAAAGAAAATATGCATGTTTTGCAAGAATCTAAGCTCCAAGCATCCCAGGATAGTTTCTTAAACAGCCTTATTGCACAGGCTCTTGTCTGTAAAGTGTACTGTAATCTAAAACTTGCACCTAACATGGCTAGAAGCCTAAGAGTGGATAAACTTTAACATCTAGCATTTTGCTGATTGGCACACGTAGGATTTTACAGCTAGTTGTGATTCTAGGAGACCACAGAATCATAAAATCATTTAGATTGGAAAAGACCCTTAAGATCATCAAGTCCAACCATGTTACAGATGCGAAGATGAAGACTCCCCTTCCTAGCCGAGCTCCTATTTTAATCCTTTAAAGTAATTATATATGACAGGGGACTTGCTTTCAATACTTAGAGTGCATCACACTTCACCATTAATTTATAGTGGGCAGACACATACTCTAGCTTGTTTTGCATAACTTTCTTTTGTGCTTGCATAATTTATATCCCAAAGAACAATTTTCAATAAATGTTTTTCTCTCCTGTATTTTTCCTGGTAAACAGATCAAGTTACAGTACTTAAGATTAACCCAATCAATGTTGTATTTATTGACAGAACAGGTTTGGTTACTTCAAGGTAGAGTATGGGCAAAAAAAATGACAAGAATTCTACTATTGGAAATTATTACTAAAGCCCAAGCTTCAGAAAGCAAAAGCTAATGCCACACAACTACTTTTTCTGAACCATAATTAGCAAAGCGCAGTCTTAAAAAACAAACCAAGCATCCCATAATAGTGCATTTAATACAAAGCTCCTGGTCCCATCCATCCATATTGCAGGTAGTTGAGTGAGAACACGTCTGTAAAAAGAGCTACATTTGCTGCTTTGGACGTTTGCCACACACACACTTTGCAAGGCTGAGGCATGCACTGAAGCGGTGTTTTGGGTTCGTTAGCCGTTGTACGCGCTCGTGAGAACACTTGCGTTGCCATACACTGCTCTCAGTAAGCATATTCTCTGCTGTCTGCTAGAGTCTTAAAAACAGACCTGGCGCAGACGATCCAAGGTGAGAATGTTCTCCACAGCCAGCACGCTCCGCAAGTACTTCTCAATATAGGCTTCAGAGTCAGCTGAAGCTGCATCTTCAACATTTGCTGCCATTCTGGCTAGTGCCTCCCGCTCTTCGGCTCCTTGAGCATCCTAGGAAGATGAAAAGAAATGACAGCCTTTTAAAATAGAAATAAAAATCTCCCACATCAGTCCTGAAGAAAACGCATTTTTAAAACACGCGGGACAGATTCAACATTGTTTGCCCCTAAGCTCAGGGGCAGATTCAGATGTCTTGTTGGAGATTTCTAAACACAAGCCTTGTTACATTGAAGGAACTTGTGCCGTGCAAACTGCAATGGGCGCTCCTACCACCGTCACAGGCATCTCAAGCTATACATGGTTATTGTTCTTTTGGTTTGGGGGTTTTTTTGGGTTGTTTTTGGGGGGGTTTGGGGTTTGTTTTTGTTTTTGTTTTTTTTTTTTTTGAAGTCTTACAGTGAGACATTGCCATTGATTAGCAAAAGGGCTGCATTCAGATATTTTGTAATTAAAAAGTGCTTAAACACATTCGGGGCGTTACCTATCCTGTGAGGAAAACAAAATTTCAAGTGACTTGCAAGAAAAAAATAGAACATTGCTCAAGAAACATTTCAACACAGAGTGCTAAATTCAGCAGAACATAAAAGACAGTCAGGCAGCAATCAGACTTTTGGCTCTTCATGTGCTAATGTTTTTACAAGTGCTCTGATAGAGCATCTGTTTGGAAGGAAAAGATTAGCATCTAACCACGAACATGCTCAGGAATCAAGAGTTGCATAAAGACATTACTTAGAAAAAGCCACTTTGTTATTTTTACATATTCTCATGCTCCCTACATTAGGCACTTCACCTACCCATCTTTACTGCCCCTCTTTTTGTCTCTCTTTAAAACGTTTCTTCAAGGACCTGAGCAAATAGATGGTCACTCAACGAAATACACAGTGACACTGATAAGACATAGGTTGCTGCTAAGTCACAGCATGTAAAGTAATATGCTTAATCTTTTATAAGAACCGTAGTTTATGCTTGCAGCAGCAAGAGCTAGCATGCTCAAAAAAAGGGAAAAATCAAAAAGTTAGAGGCTCCTAGCCAATTTCAGATACTCTGATTTCTTATTCACCTCTGGAATATTTGAGACTATCTCAAAAGTGATACCACAGCCAGGAACGGAACTTCGGTGAGACATTCTTCGGAGGAAACTCTGTGCAAAACCCTGTGGGGAGGCAAAAAAAAAAAGGAAAATATCTCTTGCTTTAAGGAAAACATGGTTTAACATATTTCAACTGAAGTAAAAATAATTTACAAACAAAGAAGTCCAAACCCAAGAGACTAGCCAATAGACATGTAAGAGTCAAAGATTTTAACTTGGAGACAAATCATTTGCTTGTCTGTGTTTTAGATGCAGAGAAAGGATTAACTTTCTTCCTTGCAAGGTGACCACTTCACCAGCAAACAAAGCATTTGCTAGCTCTAGAGGTGGGGTGTTTTGTTTGTTTTTTTTTGGGTAGAGCCCGAGGTGACTTGTCTTGAATATTGACAAGAACAGGCATTAAATTCTTGACCAAAGAGATCGTTATGAAGAATGACTTAAGGGGGCATGGTCATTGTTTATGCTGACTTGGCGCCTTGCAGGGTTAAGAACTGGACTGTTGAATTAATGCAGAGATGAGTCATTCAAAGATGCTGCTGAGACGAACACCCGGGAAAGGTTATTGACGAGGATTTTTAGAAACCTAGCAAGAAAGCCAAAGATTCCGTGTCAAATAAAAGTAAAAAACATCATTGACTAAATCTGTAGAAAACAGAATTGATGACAGCTTAACGCAATTGTAATTATTGGCAGGCTCAATTTATCTATCGAATGCACTCTTCCATTCGATGTGACAAAAATTCACTGTTGCCTTTCTGAGAAAAAGCTTTTGCCTGATAGAAGCACCAAGAGCTGTAGTTCTTCTAGTCCTAGCACTAAAAGCAGTTTAGAGTTGCCTACAGGGTTTCTGGGTGCGACCACACCTCTTTCTGCTCTTGCTTCAGATTTTAACTACAGATGTGCAAACAGAATAACAATTCAGCCTTTCTGCTTTGTCATTATCACTGCTAGGGGAAGCTGGATTGTGAGACAATGCTCAACAAACTCCTCCTCACCATCTTTCTCAAGAATTAGGTATTTTTCAATAACGTCTGAACATACTATAGGAGTATGGTAACACACAAGTTTCTTCTGATGCACAGTTTTTTGCAAAACACGAACTCCAAGCTCGTGAGAAGTTAACTCCTTCTGCTTTTTCCAGTGACTGGAGATAAAGCATTTAGTAGTTAATACAAATAACACCGAATATCTCATATGCCATTGAGCCCTTAAACAAAAGCTGCGTTATCATCCACAATACAAAAGATACTATGAAAATTACTTGGCACCTTAAAGTCTCGACACATGCCATTGATACAGTGCTTGCATTCAGGCAGAGATGAAGGCAGATACAAGAAAACAAGAGCCATAGCAGCAGCAGCATATTGCACAAATCACAGCCTTCCCCTCTTCAAGCAGTGATAAACGTGGGGCAGAGTGAAAGTGTGAAGGAGTATAAAAGATATACCTGTCTGCCATACACATTAACACAAATGCGCTTGCGTAACACTAATTGCATTTCTGCAGGATGGCTGAGCTGGACAGTGGCTCTCACAATAAGGTAAACTCTTTCATCTGCTGCTGTTCCTTTACTGAGCTGGATACAGTCGTGGACTGTGGAATCCCATGAGGCTTCTGCTTTCACCTGCAAAGGAAAAAAATGTATCCTCTAATAAGCATAATTAGGTGTATAATTAACTGTAATTAATTAAGCATAATTAACAAAAATACATAATACATAAATTTTGAGAGTCAGCTTCTCCATTTCACTCCCTATGAAGAAAAATCCCCGCACTTTAGAAGAGGCCATTTAAAAATCAAGATTAGTATGCCAAATGAAGACGTTGGGATTAAAAATGCCAACTTGCTCAAACTCTGGAACGTTTCCTCTTGAAAAAAAGATCTTTGAATACCCAGGATCATTGCAAATAAATTATAAAATATGCAGAACTACAGGACCATTTGGCCTAATTTATTAAGATAAACCAGAGAGCAACAGAGATTGCAGTGAAAATCTTCCATCACACCACATAAACTCTCCCATCTGTATTTGAGAAATAACTTTGCTGAAAGATTTCTAGCAATACAGCAAAAGCTGGAATTTATCTTCTTGAATGTTAAAATATAAGTATTATGGAAGATTTAAATGGTTTATCTTCAAGCCATAAGAAAAATGGCCTGGTAGGCATCTTTCCAGGCTTTAAAAACAAAACAGAACGAAAAACCTACCAAAACCATCAGGAATAAAGCTCCTCTAAAAATACGAAAAGAAGTAAGTTTCAGAGTAAGGAGCAAAATTTTAAGGTAAAAAAAATAAACCAGAGATTCTAAACTTAATAGCAAAAATTATAAACCAACAATTGTAAAATTGTAAAACTATGAGCTATGTTGCAAAATGGAGCATAATGAAGGTCACAACGCAGAGGTGAATACATTAACCGTAGCAACAATTAAGACTGTTTGGTTTTTCAGCTGGGGGCTTCCATACTCTAATTTGCACAGGGGTTTGGTTTTGTTTTTTTAAACATGAACTCAGAATCTCAAGCTTTTGTAATGCTTGGATTTAGACAAAAGAAGATCCTTGACTTTTATTATTTTTCAAATCATGGTTATACTCCTAGCAAATATTCCTTGAAAACACGGAGTCAGTCATATAAGAAATAAGTGTTGTATCCTTTGTATGCCCTCTTTGATGCATTATTTTCACATCTGAGTATATAAAGAGAACAATTAAAAGACTCCTAAACTAAATATACTGGTCTGCATCTCTGCTTACCTCACTATCATGATGCTTCACAATCTGCAGTTCAAAGAATTCCTCCTCCTCTTCTGCAACAAGAGTAGCATCCCACCCACCCGCTTCTGGGTCATCAAGGTTATCTTGGGAACTGAAGTCATCAGCTAGAAACAAAAGTGAATGCAGAAGGTGAGGAGACACAAAGCAATTATCTTTTTAAAACACATCCGGCAAGTCATGAATTCACATTTTCATCACTAACTCCCAGCTTGGCTACTTAAACTCTACCCACATAAGAAAAGCTCCTCGCATTGTTCCACTTCAGAAAGAATCCCGTTTCTATACAGAAAGGGTGCACAAAGGTCTGGGGGCACAGATGCAAGCGTGCCTTATGAAGTCCTCTATTGTGTGGGACCCTTCCCCAGTTGTAAACATCCCCTCCCTGCCCACAGGTCTCCTTTCAGCTCTACTGGTCAATCACACTAAGTACGTTGCTCATTTGGCATTAGTTAGGTGTTGTGGGTGGGGTTTTTTGTTTGTTTGTTTTAATAAAGATAAGCTGCTGGTTGAACACATAAAAATGCAGTACTTTTAGATCACGATTAAACAAATCCTTAATCTGGCTTTTGAGAAGCAGCTTAACCTGTTCTAGCTCCAGTCCCTCACCATGAATGAATGATTAACTAGCTCCTCTCTGAAGCCATCTGAGGTATCAATGCGCTTTTTGAGCTGAACAAACCCTAAACGTAAAGAGCATTGCAGCAAAGACCTCCTCAACAACAGGCAGCATGCCACCTCCCCACTCCCACCTGATGCTTCTAATCCAAGTGATAACCCTCTTTTAAACGTCATAACAAGGATTTGTTCAACTGATTAGCCACTGCTGGCTCCCTGGACTACTTTGGGGTTGCTGATTTCTTGGCTACAATTTCCCATCCTTGGTAGGAGTATCTGCCAAATACATTGTTTGAATCGGATCTTGTATTTGGATGTACTGAAACATGCATTGTTTGAAGAAACACATACGCTCACGCTCTGCAAAACTAACTTGAGCTTAGCATGCCGTGGTTTTTTGATATGCAGACATTATTACCAGTGACTTCACATTTTCTTCTAAGTCACCAGTAAAGAAATTATAGGATAAAGCATCCGTGCTATATCCTTGTGAGACCCCAGAAAGAACACTCCCAGTAAGAATTTTTGCTTTATACTGGCTTATGCTGTTCACTCCCTTAGGTTACTCATTTTACTATTTCTATTTTACTTATTAAATGCCTGCAAAATATTGGGATTATTAAAACCTATGGTTCCTTCCATATATAATGCTGTGTATTTTTGAAACATTTATAAATAATATGTTTCAGTGAAAAATGCGCACTCTCAAATTAACCTACCTGCCATTCCAGGCATCTCTTCATTTTATTAGCTTGCTTAAATTTTATAATGTCACTGGTCATACAAAGTTTGCTTCAAAGTACTCTGTCATTTTAAGAACCACTTACCATTCAAGTCAAGGAAAATAACAGGAATGTGAGTTTCCATACCAGGCACAGGAGTCCTAAAACGTAAGACAGGGACAATGGCAGCATTTAAACTAACGCAGATTTACCCAGCACACGTACCTTATGATACGAGCCCACAGCATATTACATTCAGTACAACTGCAATTCTAGGCCAGACCATTGATAACCTTGGCAAACAGCTTTATTTTAATTTACTGTTGCAGATTCCAAGAGAGTCAACTAAATTGGTATTTCTTTTATACCAGCTCCCTTCGAATTATTACATTCTTTGACCTCTGCTTTCAGAAATGTTCTCTCCCTCTAAAATGCTAATAGCAAAATTAAGTTTATTTACTCTGACACACACATTTATTAAATGCAAACCCCCCTGCATTAGTGATGGCAGCGAAGACAGCAGAGTGAGAAGCAGAAAATCCAGTGTCGAAGTTTTTAAACTAACATTAATGCTGCCACCTACACAGTTATTACTCTTTCTTGCAAAACACACATATTTAAGAGTCAAAGCTGCCATTTCCAACCTTAATGGTTCCTAGTTTTTACTTTCATTATAAATAATCCAGCCACCAAGCCAGGAAACATGAACTTGCTACTCTCCCCTTAATTGGTTTAGTGGTGGACTTGGTAGTGTTAGGTTAATGGTTGGACTGGATGATCTTAAAGGTCTTTTCCAACCTAAATGATTCTATAATTCTATGATTTAAGGAATCTTTCATATCATGGAAGAAGGGGTAGCACAGGTGGCATTTTCTTTGTTTTAAAACAAAATATTCCATGGCCTAGCCCCTTTAAGCTACACAACACTAATAAGGTACTAAAAAAGTAACATAAAGCATTAAAGACTAAGATTCCTTGTTGCAATATTAGCTGTAAAAAAGGGCTGTAGCCATCTCATGACAAACTTGGACTTGATAAACTTTATGGTGAACAGGAGCAGGCCAGAGTCTTATGTAATATATAAGTTTTGCTGAACATTTCCTCTGGTGCAAATATGTTCAAAACAGATTCTTCCTCAATTAAGTTTCCTGCAGCTCCACTGTTTTCAAACCTAGTCAAACACTTTGATGTGAAAGTTGAAGTGTTCCCAACAAGCATTTGCCATTTTTATGTTTCAGAAATACTCGCTTTAACAAACTTCAGCTTAAAACTCCATGCCACTCAATTTCATCAATAAATATTGTTAGAGGTTTGCTCAGAAAAAAAATTCCTGAAAGTTGAAAGCAACTGAAGACAAGAGGTTTGAGGTGAAACAACCTTGCTTCCTTATGTGCAGTTGTTACTCAGCTGCTACAGTACCGCAATCGCAGTCTAGCTTAGTTTACTATTTTTAATGTTTAGAAAATTACATGGAACACTTGCTGACTAAACAGACTTTGCACTCAAACCAGGAGCACAACAAAATGCTCCTGTAGATGCAGTTTTATTAGAACAGAGCAGCCTTTTAAGTGAATGAACTAGGTAATTAACATATTAGCTAATTTTTTAAAATGCTAAGTGCAGTGGTAATAAATATTGATTCCATTTTTTCAGAAGGTCATAATTACACTCTGATCAATAATAGTTTACTAAATGGCATTTCTGCATTTCAGACACACAGCCTAATAAAATAATTTAAGCAAGAGGCCTAATTTTAACAACTTTGCTCATACGGTGTACAGAGGCCAGATTAGGGAAAGCAAAAAATGGCAACAATCCAAGCCAGGAACGAGCCGTGCATCATTTTTACATTCGTTCTTGCGTATGGCAACATATGTTCATACCACTCCGCTGGAGCTCCAGGGATCCCGCTGCCAGCAGAAGGAACCATCACAGCATTCCTTTCTTCAGTGAGAGTTAGCCTCATCTCTAAAAGCTGTGCCTCCCGATCTGCATCATCTTCTGTTTTATCTGGAGAAGCAGGATGTCCGTCAGGGCGACAGAGAGCATTTCTTACTCGCTGCCTTTATCACATGTCGATGATCTTATACCATCATAATAGAATAAAATCCACTCTGCTCAGAAATTCAATGCACAAAGAAGCAGCACACAGTATGCAAGAACAAGGAACAATTTTATATAGGCTTCTCTAACTTTAGTTTCACCAAAAGCGAATTACTGGTGAGTTCAGAGATTCAACTCTCCATTAACTTCTTTTCTAAATTTTACAATCTATTAAGATCCAAAGTGTGTGCACATGTCTCTCTCAACCTATCACTACTGTTACCTTTAATAGTATTTTGCTTACCAGGCTTCCCAACGAGTTTTTGTAATTGCTGATCAAGATACTCCTGACGCTTTGTTAAGGCACACAGCCATTTCCGACGGAGCCTCTCCAAATCCCTATCCTGTAAAGAGGAAAATAGTCATGTTAAACATTGACCCAGCAAAGCCAACGTTTCCTACTTGCGGCTTACACATTTCCTCAACCCTTCTGCTCATCTGTACCCAAGAAGGACAAAACAAAGAGGGAGTAGACCTCCAAGAAATCACTTAGCTCTTCTCTAGTTTCTTTTGCACAGGACAACTTAAACAAACACAGAATAGCTGAGGTTGGAAGGGACCTCTGGAGATTGTCTAGTCCAACCCCACTCTGTGCCCAAAGCAGAGTCAACCGCAGCAGCTTGCTCAGGGCTATGTCCAGTTGGGATTTGACTGTCTGCAAGGATGGAAGCTCCACAACCTCTCTGGGCAAGCTGTTCGATCACCACCACGGTAAGGAGGGGGGGAAAAAAAAATATGACATTTGTATGTGAAGCAGAGCCTCATTGCCTCTTGTCCTCTCACAGCATACCACTGAGAAAAGCCTGGCCCTGTCTTCTTTACCCCTTCCCATTCACATGCATTGACAAGATCCCACCCGAGCCTTTTATTCTCCTCAAGGCTAAACCCCAGTTCTCTTAGCCTTTCTTCACAGGTCCAAACCCTTAACTTCCCACATCTTATTTGAAGTATTTTTGCTTGCCAGTCTGAGGCATCTCTTGTCCTCTTGCTGTTATTCTGTACTACCCAGATGAACAAGCTTCACTTTATACACGATCTTTGCCCCCAGACTACTCTAAAACTCACTAACCACTACCTTGTGGCAAAGCTGGAAACCCCAGTCCTTAACCACGACTCACCATTCACACTCAGTGTTTAGCAGCCTTATATTAGGAACCCATCCCTGCCCTGCATCATGCCACTGTCCCTAGTTATGGCATTTGCAACTGAGCCTTTTAAAATATTTTTTCTTAAGTGCTCACGCCCTTCAAAAAAACACTTCACTATCCTTAAGAACATTCAGTTCATTTGTCTTTGGTGGAGAAATGCTCAGAAATGATGAATGAGACTCTACATGCAGCATGTTGGGTGCCACAAAGATGAGCTATCAGCTCTGGGATGCCTTCAGGCAAGCCTCTTTTATGGCAACAGCAATTCAGATTCATTCCACGTCAAACTATAACAAATACTTTGCCAAGAGAAATGGGTGGATGCAAGCCTATAAACTACAGTTGTATTACTCGCCTGTAGACCCCTACAAGTATGCCGGAATCTGTCAGAGAGCATTAAACCTAAATCTCTGGTTGCTCACATTATACAAAGTTGAGATCTGTAATGATGATGCGCTTTTGTTAAAGTTATTCAGAAGAAGATGAAAAATGTATCATGGATACTGTACCTCACCAGTTCCCCTTTAAGGCTCACGTTACTGTGATATTACATACATTTAAAAAAAAATAGTGTGCTGATTTCAGTAGTTTTATCACTGCTGTCTTAGGGCTCCAGGAACAGAATCCCCCTTGCTTGTCCAAGGGTTGATTACTACGCAGTATACTCCAGCTCTCATACACGTAGCACATTCATAATATGAAACAGCATGAAGTATTTTGACTGCATCATCAACACTACCATGCCTGTTCTTGTTCTTAATGAGGACAATCTCAATCTAGCCATAGTCTGTCAAGAAGGAAGACTCCTCTCCCAGAAACACCAAAGATGAAAAGCAATCGGATCTTGTTTTGAAAATACACATTAAGGCATCTTGTCCTTTCCCTTCCACCTCTCTAATCCACCACATGGCTTTGTAGCATAACAGTCTATGCAATTCTTAAGCTTTTAGTCTCTTCAGAAAACAGGCTCTCTGTATATCCAACCAGTACAGCAAAGATTACATTCTGTTCCTCCTCTAACATGTTTTAATCTGAAAATGTCTTCTGAAAATGTCTGAGTTTGTAAAAAGAGAGAATTCAGCATTTTTACCTGATAACTGTCCATTTCGTCCTCTTCTTCCTAGGTCAAAACATGCAAACCCACATCATTACATTTTTTTTTGATAGCAGGAAACACACTGAATGCAAAAGGTGTAACTATTTCAAGCAATATTAGCTATCTTACATAAAAGTCTGAGCTTAGCAATGGTATGATCACAGAATTAAAACACACAGACATCCCAAAGATTTGCTGCTATAGGCTCATCTAAACACACACTAGAGCAATCCAACAATTATAATGGAAAAATTTCACGGAAATATAGCTATTAGAATTCTTCATAATTGGAAGCAAGTGGGATACTTAAATTGTCCTAAGAAAGAAACAGGAGTTACAGTGAAACAACTTGAAACCTGTTGATCCTGGACAGCAAAGAAAAATGTGCTCTTTTACCTGTAAGAGTTAAGTATGAATGTTACAGCAAGCACTGAAAAATCAAACTCTGGCATAAAGGATTCGAGGCATTTAGAGGAGAAGAACTGTAAACATCTAAGCCAATTATTAGGGAATTAGAATAACTCTGTCTGCCACACCAGGAGCTGCAATGTAGACCTTCGACATTTTGATTTCCATTACTTTCTGATGGGAGACACCACCTTTCATTCTCAACATTCATCACAAGCAGAGCCACATGCAATGAGTGTAAGCAGAACTGCCAGAGAATGGAAAAGCAATGAGGATTCCAATCCTCCTCGAGTTATTACTTATCTATTTAAGTAATAACAAGCCACTGGAGTCTACTTTTGTATCTTAGTAATAAAAGCAAAAAACTTAGCTAAGCTAAAATTAAAAAGCCATATAGAAGAGGAATTTTCTCAGTTCGATGTCTTTAGAAAATCTTTAATATTCCACTGATAGTGATTTACTTGAGATAGAGAAATACTAATAAGGGGACTAAAAATCCAGGTGTTCAAATCCAAAGGCTATTGTAAGCAACAGGACTAATAAAACATGGTTTTCAATAGCCCTTTCCCATGTGGGTTATCAGTGTCAGACAACTCGCTGGTCTCTCTCAAGCGGAGCTTAAGTCTTTCTCCTTGAAAGAACATACTATTTTGTGGATTGCCAGCTCTGTCAGATATGGTTGAAACTGGTCAACAGATCAGAAATTCCCTGGGGAAGCAGCAGGGTGAGACAAACAGAATGCTCACCTGGGACCTGTGCCCTTATGAAACAGGCTAAAAGGGGCATGTGTGTGTTGTGGGTGTGTAACGGCTTTCAAGTAAAATTTGCAAGAGTCAATCATTCTGTCTCAAGAGAGAAGAATCTCGTAAGAAACTTGCTCTGTTCAGGAGTAGGAGAGAAACAAGAGTTTACTTGCTCTGTTGGACGTGGGTATCGGGGACTGCTGTGACGGAAAGGCAGCTGGAGCGCCTGCAGGCAGAGTCACTAGCAGAAGCATAAGGGGGAATAAAAGCAATAATCTGCCTATGATGCTGCTGAAAAGTGAGATTTCTGCAAAAGTGGAAAAAATTTCCCTTTTTGTGCTCCTGACACAGAAAGGGCAAAGGATTGCTAAGATTAGGAGACAACAACTACCCAACTACTTCAGACAAAGGAAAAACAGTACCGATTAAGCAAAAAAGAAGAGCAGACACGCATTGAATGTACTCTGTCAACAGGGTAAACATTATAGAAAGCTGGGAGATGTCCCAAAAACTACTTGACATTTAGTTGGCCTTGTCTCAAGCAGGACAGCTAATCAAGCAAGTCCAGAGACTTACTTGTTCTGTTGCATCAGATTTTGGCTTGCTAACTCAGAGGAGTGCCTAAATTTTAATTTAGCTGTTGGGGGAAAAAAGTCAAACTGTACTAGAAACTGATAGAAGCACTGCAAGAAGACGATCCCTAAAACCAGATTGATACACTTGCAGTTTAAGATGAGATGCAGTGCTTCTGAGGTTGTCAAACAACTGGCCAACATATACTATAGGCCAACAACTGGCTTATATAATTCTAACATTTGTAGCTCAACACTGCTTGAATATATGTTCCATTGATTTGTTTTAATTTGAATACTTACTTAAAATTGCTGCCATATCTAATATTTGAAGTAAAATCTACTGGACAAACTCTTAATGAATTTTAGAAACTCTGGCATTTTCTTTCTTCTTTGAATGGTGCATTAAGGCTGCTTTTAAGGATAGGGGAAAAAAACCCACAAAACCAGAAGAGACAGAGAAGGTAGTCTTACAAATATTATTTTTGCCATGGAAAATGATTTTTGATTAAGAGGAGGATCATCCACAACACTTTCTGAAAGACAGAGGTTTAAACTGTCCTGAATAACCCCTAAAACCACTGTCAATGCAATTCTAACAATTCCTGACATTGCTTTATACGTTTAAGAAGTAGGTTAAAAAAAAGTATCCCCCCCAAACCAAACTAAAACTCAAAATGAACGGAGTTGCCTCCAACTACAACAAACTCAGGACATCACTTCATGCTTCTACATGTCTTGGAAATAGCCACAGCTGACAGGAAACATTCAGACTCTTACCTGATAATTTTCAGGTACTTTTTGTGACTTGACATGTTTTATTTGAACACAGCCAATTCCAACAGATAATATTGATTCCTCCATCAGTGGCAGGGTCCCAGATTCCTGTACAGATCTCACTTCAACCTGAATTCGTCGAGATTGCCCCTGCCCAAAAGAACAATTTGAAATGCTTGGAAAAAAAAGAATATAAAATGCTGAAAGCTTAATGACAGAGAGACCTCTACTGGCAGTCATTTACAAGCAACACTGTATTTTTATTTTGTGAAGAACAAAGTGGCGAGTACTGGAATCTCAATGACTCAGTGTTCAAGAGACACCCCTTCTGTTGCAGGGATTTATGTTTACAGGATTCATATATTTGCAGAAAAAAAAAAGTTCAGCATTCAGCAACTCCTCAGTTTACTTTTCTGGAGGGTTTTCAAAACATACACTTATAGGATTTTATTTTTAATACTTCTGAATACTTTTCCCCAGCTACAAAAAGAGGAAAGAGAATAGTCTAATTTGGTGAGCTACTGGAATTTCAGTGAACTTTTCCTGACTCTGGTCTCCTTGACTGAAAATTCTTACCCACTGATGCTATCAGTGCAGCAAAGTAAACTGCTCTTTAGTAAAACCCATAGGGGGAGGGGGGGGTGGAAAAAAAAAAAAAAAATCAAAGGAGCTGGGGAGTTCAGAGGTGCAGCCTGTATCTAACTAACTAATTCCTAGTGTTCTCTGGGCAATAGCTTATCACTTTAAAAAGTTAACAACTCAGTTAAGCATTAACAATTTAATGTGTGCAGAATTCAAAGAACAAAGGAGTGGTTGGCTGAAAGGATCAAATAAAGGGGAACTCTGGACCTTTTTAAAAAATAATTAAGTTCAGTCGAGACTGACGTCCTTTCTACCAGGTGCTATCACAGAACAGGGCACAGAAGAACATAGCAGAAAGATTACCGGTAAGCCTCTGATCACCTTTCCATCTGAGTTTATGCACACTGGCAGTTTCACAAAACACAGAGAGACTCCACTTTCTTCCACTTCATGTCTGTTTTAAACAGTATCATATTTTGTGTCTAATCTTGACGGTTCCTTGGACACCACCCTTTTACCATATAAAACAGAAGCTTCTTAGCTTTCCGCCGGCTTTTTTCACGTGAAATCCTGTCAGTGTCACCTTACCTGTCTGAGCTGGAAGATGCCTCCTGTGCATACGTCCTTGGCAGGAGTCACCTCAACTGGGCAGTATTCCCCATTCTCATTCAGCTCTAGAATTTGAACCCAGAGTTCTACTTTTCGGGTTACTTCACTCCACCTGCAAAACACGTCAAATGCTGGGGTTTTTTTTGTTTTGTTTTATTTTTCCAAAAGAAAGAAAAACCAAAGCATTAGCTCAGACTGCAGACTGAAGCAGCACAGGAACACTTCAACAGATGCACCATCTGTGACTATGAAGGGTTGCTAGTTGTGCAGTGCTTATAAATTTTACTGACAACTGTTTTAGTCCAACATCAGAAATGAGCCTTTCCTTTATTCCAATATGAAAACCAATTCTGCGAGGTTCTAACATTTAAGCTCTGGTCTCAACTACTGCCACAGAAGCCCAGTGTTGTCAGCGCAATCAGATTCATCCAGAAGACAGCAGAATGAAATATGACATTGTCTCACAAGCTTTTGAGATTCAGGGCACTTTTCTGAACTTCATCATGCTACTGCCTTCTCTCCAGGCCTTCGAAGAGCTTACATAAGAAATGGCCACTTTCACAGTACCTCAAAATTAAAAAGGAAGGAGGTACTTACTACTCAGCTATGAAACGCAACTCACTACTTTATAACATCCTTTTTCCAGCTCCTTTTTGCCATATTTTCCTGACTTTCCTGTTAAACTTCCCTATATATGGCGTAATACTCAACATGCTCAGCACAAGTGTAGGGTGAAAGTATAAAGAGTAATAACTGCCAATAAATTAAGGTGCAGAGCTGCCTTCTAACTGGAGAGGCAAAACAACTTATATTTAAGAAAATGCTACTAAGCTTACTTTGGGGACAACAAACGGCTGCCAGCAAAAAAGCAACCCCCTTCAGTCTAAATTACCATACTGCTGCATATTTACTCCAACTGAAGTAATTAGTGATACAGCTAACAGCGATAACAGTGATACAGTGATAACAGGAAATGTTACAGTGATGACATTTCATGGCCAAGAATGAGCTGGAGTCAGACCTTGAATAAATATATCAGCATACAGTCAGAACAACCATCTTACTGTTTTAGACTTGATAGCTCTTTCTGGCACAGACTAGCGTAACAATATGAAGAAAAATAATCAGCCTGCTCTTTTGTAAAACACTACTTACGCACTTGAGTTTGCCTAAATAAAAGAGATTTCAAAGTCTTCCAAGTTTTACGACTTTTAATTTGAAACAGAGATGGGCATTTCTCCCCTTGCACTTTTTTAAAGCCTACTGACACATCGCATGGTGTTTTTCCAATAGACAGAGTCTATTCATAACAGTCTAATAGATACAGTCCCAAACACACGCTCAAGTTGTCTTCAGTTCAAAATTTGACTACTCATCCCAAACTTGCTTCAAAATTAGGCACCTCAGACAGTGATTTTCCAAAACGCTAACCCAAGGATCTATTCTCCGTATTTACCTGTCACGAAGGCTGCGTGTTTTGGCTTGAATTATTCCCAAATCCCACAGGGCTGGATTTTTGCGGTCACCACTCTGCTTGTGCCCATATACTTCGATTGCCAAAGCACCATCGTAAAGATGTTCCATGAAGTCTTCAGAAATATTTACAGAAACTTCCTGTATGTAAGCGACAAATCGGTTGATGACTGTGACTACACAACGACTTAGGCTTAGAGATTTACTGTCTTGACTTTCATCTAAGCATGTAGTAAAGTCACCATCGTCCCCAAGACACAATATAGAGGAAAGGAAGAACTGTCACCTCAGTTTGTAAAATCAGGAGGCAAGGCAAAGATACATGATTTGCTGAAGATTAAAATTGTAAAGACCTGAAAAATGACCGCATGCTGTTCCAAGTCCTGACCCAATGGTTCAAAAAAAAAAAAAAATCGTATGTTCTAATGTTCAGAATCAGAAAAATCAAAACTCATCAGAACGTATTATATCTATTTTACAAATGATAAGTAGAATAAATTGCTCAGTGTAATGACAAATGATAGAAAGAACCAGACAAGATTGGCTGGCATTCATCTAAGCCGACTTTAGCTATCTCTACTAAAGATACATCCACTCAGACAGTTGCTCAAAGTCAATAGGAAGAAATAGTCTGTTCTAAGATACACAACCTAACTTCAACATCTACATCAGGATAACAGGCATCATGTTCCAGAACTGGGACATTTCTCTCCACTACATCAGAGTGTAGAATGAGCAGCTTAGATATGGACACTAAATGTACTCAGACGAATATCACTCTTCCAGTCACACTCAGCAGCATTTTTACTGTGGGTAAACGCCAACATAAGTCTTTCTGCTGAACAGACTGTTTTCCTTTATTAATCCACTTCTTCACCTTCTGTGATTTTTGTACAAGTGAACAGTGTAGTATAATCAAACTGATATGGACTCTGAAGATGCTTCAAGTTCTTATGAAAAATGGAATTAGGGTATCAGCCTCACAAAGCACAATAATGAAAGCAAAGAGGCAACTGTTGTGCAAGCATTAACCTGCTTTTTCTGCCTACGGTTTCATTAATAAAATAGAAAGAAAGTTACATTGCAGTGATCGAAGACAACCATGCACCGTGGCTCCTTGCTGACGGAAGATAAGGAAGGATCCACCTCAGGTGCAACGATAACTGGCTCCAGTTGATCCCAGAATGTATATTTGCAGAACACAAAGTTGGAGAGGTGCTGTGGCAAACCTGTAGCCTGAAGTATTTTAATCTAGAAAAAGAGATGAGAAGCAAAGCACTTATTAATTAGGCATAGAATTAAAAATATCTTCTGTTGGAACAATGTTATTGTGTTCCACTGCAAAGGGTAACAAAAAAAAGAAAGGAGCAAACCAAAAAAACTTTACAAAGTATGAATTTCTGCATCGATATATAGCGAGACAATCTTTTGAGTGCATCAGCTGAACATTGCCACTAGATGTCACCAGGCACATTTCTTAGGAGTGAAAGCTGAAAGTCTGAATTTTACAAATACATCAAAATATTTTGTTCATTTTTAATGGTGAGATGCACCAGAAACTTTATAACTGAAGAGAAATACAATAAAAACGTCATATTTCTACAGAAACTGGCTCCTTTGTTCTGCAAAATCCTTGTCTGAAGATACTACTTGTCCTTATTCTTTGATGCTAGAAACAATATAAAAATAACCCCAACAATACAAAACTAGCCTGTCCCCTCTTTTTCAAAATCAAGGCCAACTAAAACCAAAATGTTTTGAATACACCTTCTGATCTAAACAAAGCCATCATATTAACCACATTATTTAATAAACTTCTATTTGCCATTTGTCAAAGTTCTGCTGAGTTAGACAGGAGTGGAAAGGCACCACTCAAGATCCTCAGGAGAGTATGTTTCCTGCAACAAAGCCCCACATTGCCTGCAAGCACATGGAGCTCTATGGGACAGGATAAAAAGTGAAAAAAGAGTACAGCTGCCCCCAAATTGTTCGTATTGTCCAGCAGCCAGCAAAGCTGGGGTTCCACTCTCTCTAGTGCTTTTTGCCTCCCTCTTTCCTTATCTGTAGCTTGGCCTATCTTGCGTTTTACTACAACACAGAACCACTAGTTAATCTTTCCTGCTTAGTTTCCTTTTATTATTATCTATTAATAATAAACACACCTGCATATATTTCACAAAATATTGAATCATTAGAGAGAGAAATACTGAGAATGATTCACAGAACAATGGGAGTTTATCAGATTCTATGACTCCTTTTGAATTAGATATTGTAGCTCCAGTCCTAGTGCACAGATCTTCCATGTCTTCCAAGACTACAATAAATTGTCTGCGATAAGATTGTATGGGTATACATATAAATATATAGTTTAACGAATACCTTGCAGACTTTAAAAAAAAAAAAATCATGGAGATTGAAAGGAAAAAAACCCATCTAGTTGTCTTGTATTATTTCAGCCACCCAAGAAAGAAAATATCATGAGACAAGACCACACAGCACTGCTTCAAGACAAACGCTGAGCACCAGGACATTACACAAGACCATGAAAACAAATACAACAAAAGTATTAAACTCTGTACCTACAACTGAATGATTAGGTACAGCTAAATTATTTGTGCTTTTTTTTTAAAAAAAAAAAAATCCTGAAACATCAACACAGTTTCATATTGTCAATCAATGAGTTTAAAGACAGGACTTTGCCTGTGTAGCTGAATACTGGAAGCGAACATGGCGCACGAGGTTACAAAGAGACATCTAACGTCCAGAAGCCAATGCACCAGGGACTTCTTTATTTTAAGGCTTGGAATGGAAAGAGAGAAGGTTGCTCAGAGGTTGGGATTTATCTAGAACTCACCTGGCAGACCAGTTTTCTCTCCTGAGTGTCATTTTCATTTGAATAGTCTGGACTATCCTCGCCTCCAACCAACCTGTCGTCTATCTCTCCACTCACTCGAACAACTTCAATGTGGAGACGACCTGATACCTGATAAGAAAGGATTAAGAATTACTTGTGTACCAGAAAACAGTGACAGGTTCATCTCTTTACAGGTAACTACAACTACTGCTGTTTCCAATCTGTAAGCAGACACCATTTTATTCCTTTTTATTGTTTTGTACTGTGCATTTATTGCACCAGATGAAGAATTCTTTGGAGCAAGAATCAAAGACCCTTTGTTGTAAAAGCATAAAGAAATCAGCCACTAGAGTGACATTGGGAACAGCATACTGCAATCTCACTCACCTTCACGCTAGTCTCTAGAGAGTCTGCAAAGTGCACATGTGATACAGAGCACAGAGAATGTTGCCTGGTACGCTCTAGCTGCCTTTGAAGTTGTTCTTACAGTATATGTTTAAGAGCCTATTCTTGATGGTAGTCAGTGGAACTATAGCTCATACACGTTCTACTAAGTATTTATTTTGGGCTGCTTCGCTGAGAAAGGTGCTCACAAAGCTTTCTCCTTTCACAGTCACTATGCTGGGATTCAGAGCTGTCTAAACACCTCTAGTCAGGTATTATGGGATTTGCATAATTCCAAATTGTTAGCAAAGAACTTGTGCACATGAAACTGGAAAATATCTATTATATACTGGTAATAAGATACGCAGGCTGTAATTAAACAGTTGAGTAAGGATAGATTATAGAAGAATGACAAACCTCTCCCTTCTGATTGATGATTGGAACAGCATATTGTAGCTTCACATCATAGAACAGGCACTCAAGAAAAACATTGGCTACTCCGATAAGGCTGTGGTTTTCCTGCTCATCGTAGAATGGATCAGCTCGCCTGAAGTAAGCTCTCATCACCTTTAATCAAATTCAGAATAATGTAAGAAAAACAAACTTTTCATGAAACGGTTTTCAAAGTATTGCGCAACCAGCCTAATGAAAGAAAAATGGACTCGAGCAAGAGGCTGGATTAGATCACAAGAAGAACGGAAGCTTGAATTTTACTTTGGACTGAGCGTAAGGCCTGTCCTCAGCAAGTTCTCTTTAATGTTGTCTGATTCAGAGAAGTCAGTCCGAACATCAACTCCTGTTGTGTTTACTTACTGCTTCTTATTGTATGCTTGGTTTGGTCACCAAACTATGCACACAAACGAGCATCAAAGTGTCAAGGTAAGGGTTAATGAAGTGCTGAAGATTCGCTTCAGTACTAGGAAAAGCAAAGGCTCAGAAAAAACTTATTTCTTTGCACACTCCTGCCCCCATGAAGATTTTCTCACATCTACTTAGACAAAAAAAAAATTAACAAAGATGTAATTCTATCAGCACAATACTGGAGTAATTTTTACTTACTGGGTTGTCTTCCTCACAGTCTTTCCACTCCTGGTAAAGATCCCTCATATCTACCAGTCGATTCTCCAGCTTTTCCAGTGACCAAATCTGTTTGCCTTTCCCTTTCCTTCTCACCTGAATAGCAGGTTCACTGAGAATTGCACCTCTCTGTGAAACAATTAAAGACATACCAATAAGGAATTTGTGTCATGACAATGATAAAATAGTTTTAAAACAATGAAAAACTGAAAACATCTCTGGGAGAAGTTTGGATTTTGTTCTTTTTTTATTCTAGCTTGAGCAACCAAATTCAAGTGTGACAGACTCTGAGTTGGGCTGTCACAGTGCATTCGTGTTCAGTTTCACTGCGAAGTCTAACCACAGCTACGGGCACTAGTTTCCGTGGATTTTCACCTTACATAAGCGTTACAAATAGGAACATTTAAGCATTTCACAAATATCCTCAAGTTACAGCACGCCTGGAGTTCCAGCTAAGGTAACTGCTGTCTGCAACCTTCAACTACTGCAGACACTTAACCCTCTTTACCATCCTGTTTTTAGACGCGCCAGAAGACTGCAAGAAGAAACAAGCAACCAAGAGAAACTTCTAAAGTAATTGATAAAAATGCTAATCCTGGAATAAAACACATCTACTGTACTAATGACAGCCTGACTATCACCAAAATATTGAGCTGACCTCAAGAACAGAAATAGTAAGCCAGCTTAGATAGCCAGCCTGAGACATGGAAGTCTGGGTTCAGTTCCCTCCTTCCAAAATTTCTAAGATGCCTGGAAGAAATCATCCAAATCCTCTCTGCTCCAGTTCCTCCCTGTACAATGGGGATGACAGCATTTTCTCAGCTCACGACGATGATGTAAAGCCAAACGTCCACAAGGTGATGGTAAATACCAGAAATAGAGGTTACCTAACCTGCACAGATTTTATCGCTCTGCAACAGAAGCAAGCGTGAACTTCAGCACCAGTGGAAAGGTCTTGCACCATAACATTTACCAGTAAGCTAGCACAAGACTTTCACGGTAAACAAAATAAGGTAAGGATATAGCATGCACTAAGAGAGCCATGCTGAATGCACATGAATAGACTGGGAAACTATCTTGACCATTAAAGTCGGAATACGACAAATACGAATGCTGAGGGGCAAACTTACTGAGCAATGATTTAGTTCCATTAGGGCTACCTTACCTTACTGTTAGCATTCAGGCTTGAAGCTGGGATCTGGAGGGTAACTTTATACTCTGTCCTCTTGTCCAATTCCTCTCCGATGAAATTGGCTTCTCTCACATACAAATTGGCTTTAACAATCTGCTCTCGTAGCTTTCTCAGGCTGTGGGTCAACATTTCTTCTCTGAAAGAAGGGGATTTGGAGGGGAAGACAGGAAAAATCACGGCATTCAAGTATTGAAACTGAGTGCAAAACAAATGATCACTCAACAGAAAGGAGTCTTAACATTCAGCTTAACACAAAAATCAGGCAAATTAAATTGCATTTCTTCTGGGGACGGGGGGCAGAAAGATTATCAGTATTAATTGAGCAGTATGAACATTAGCGTACTGCTGGCTTTGGAGACTTCTCCATGCATCTGCTGAACAGTCAGCTCTTATGTGGCTTATTCCAGAGTTTCCCCACCACAGATGCGGATGTTCCATCTTACAGAGAAAGATTTATTCAGACACCATGAACCACTTTCTCACTGGCCTTCCTGGCAAGTGTGAGAGCGCGCCAACTGTGCAGCACAGGAATCTGGTACCACAAAATATTCCCGACACACAGCTAACAACTTGTTAGACTGTCTCAAATATTTTCTGTTTCAAAAGTTGCTTCTCCAGCCATATAAATTAGATTTGTATTTTCTCATTACAACGTCTTTACCATACTCATTGTTTTAGGGTACACTTCATCTTCCTCCTGCAGCTGCTCTTTTTGACAGTAACACTGGAAATGATCATTTAGAGGCTGAAGTAAATAACCTCAGTGCAATTGCCTAGGAAGAGGCAAAGAGGACAGTGGCCCCTCTGTGGTTATTAAACAGTTTTTGCAATGCTCTGGATCAAAATTCTTTGTATCATCCTCTTACTCCCTTTTCTTTCTGCACTATTCTGGTGGCCAGGACCTGCCCGGGTCAGACAGATGGATGTGAATCAAGAGGAAAAACCAACCTTCCAGCAGCTGAGTCACGATCCACAGAAGAACAAGCTCATAGAGGAGTCCTAAAATTTCTTTCAATGACCTCACCTTCAGTCAAATTTATTGCTGAACAGGATATAATTTCTCCTTAACAACAAAGCAGGCACTCATTCTTTCTCATCTTTTCTAGCATTATAGGTCTGATTGTTCTTAGACTAATATTTTCATTCTTTCCTCCCCAAGGCCCCGCAGGAGTCCTCTCAGAAATTTGGCAGAGGTGTGCAATGCAATTAAAATCTTGCAAAATTCACTAGCGCTGAAGAACTTTAAATGAACACTCCTGATGGTCAGATTTGATTACCCACCTCTCCTCCGCCCACTGCCGTAAGCGCTGCTGAGCGCTGGGGGAATGAAAGGAGAACCTGTCCATGCTGCGGAAATGCTGCTTCTCTGGCGACAATCGCCTTCGCAGTTGCTCCAGTTCGTGTTCATACATCAGTCTCTGTCGTTCAAGGGCAGATCTCTTCTCCTCTTCGTGTTGCTGCTCCAGGCTTTGCAAGATTGACTGCATTGGATCTAAGCAGATGTTGAAAACAAAGAAGCTAGTCTTTCTGGGGGTAAAATACCTGGCAACCATAACATTACATGGAAACAATCACGTAAATGAACATGGGGCAGAGACAGCAGACTCGAAAATACGAGGTATTTCCCACGTTCTGCTACAGATACGCTGTATGACCTTGGGCACGGCACAAATTACTCTGATTTGGTATTTCCCTTCCCCATTCTGTATCTGCACTTATCCACATTAGGGACTGCAGTAGCCACTGAATTCCATGGTGAAGAACATCCCAGTAGTTAGCATAGAAAAGGAGAAAGAGATTGTATTTTTACTGTAATGCATATTAAAAAATGCTGCTGAACTGTGGAGTAAAATAAACATCTACAGAACAGATCGGATGGATGATTGAAGAGAACTGAGAAAAGGGAAAGACCAAGCTGGAAAAAAAAAAAAAAACCAACTTTCCTCCTGTTTCCCAAAATAGTGCCATTCTGGGACAGCTACATAAGACCACGAAAAAATAAGGAACATGGTTTCAGAGATAGAAATCACTACAGTTAATGCCTGAGTGAGACTTAACACAAGAAAAACAAACAACAAAGTGAAACCACTTTGATTTGAGGCTGCAGTTCCACCAATATTCCAGTTTTCGCTTTTTCTTCAACAAGAACTGCCAAACAAAACATTCTGTGGTGTTTCTTTTTCTCCCTCAAGTGCTAAAAATGGCTATGATGAGTCATTCACAAGAAAAATTCTCCAGTAGGAAGTTATAAGGGAAGAAGTCTGTGGTTAAGAGTCCCTGAAGATGTAACCTCATAGTCTGTACCTATTTCCAATAATTTCTGTTGCTTCTTACCATTACTACCAAGTGCCTTCATAGTGACTTCCATCTGGGCATATTCATAGCTGAAGTTAATCTCACTAGACACTTCACTGGAATTGTCTCCATCTATGTCCAGCTGCTCAACACTATTACTGCACTTCATCGCGCTGTCTCTCTCTTCATCCTCCTGATCTGCCTTCTTTTTCTTCTTTGGCAAATTCAGCCTTTAAATAGGAGGAAAATTTTTAAAGAACTATTAATTGCTCAACTTTGAAACAAAGGGTTGCTTTCAAAGATTATTAAAATTAAGTAGATTATCCAAATCAGTAGATTTTTCCCTTTCAAAATTTGTTTATCTCCTGTGAGTGTATTTTTCCTCAGGGTAAACAGGGGAGTTCAATGCAAACTAACTAATCCATTCTACACTCTAGTAATAGAGACTAGATATTACTAATCATATAGTTTAGATAATCATGAATTTTTTCAGTCGTCCCCTATCCAAATAATTTAGAGGCAATAATGAAATTATATCCCACATTTTATGCGGATTCTTCTTTCAAGCATAAAAGAAAACAATTAAGTTTTAGTTTATCATTTAAATCCACTGATCTTTTAAGGTATTTCAGACCAGACACACAGGGTTTAATGAATACAGTCTTTCACAGAAAACTTCTGCCAGGGATCCTGTCTGATACCTGAAGGTCTCGGGTATGGCTGGAGCTGGAATTCCAGGGAACAGAGAACACAGTGCCCTTGTAAGACCCTGGTCACTGTATAACATAGGTCAAAAAATCTAACACCTTAGCTGCAAAATCCAAAAGGCAACCTATCCAAGTCAAAGCCCGAGTGTAATATTTTCACTGTGGAAAAGTGGAACTTAATATTAATGTGGTACCAAACCACATTAAAGTTACCACCTCAAAAATTAAATCTCTTCAGTGAGATAATAGTACTGATAATTACAGCAAGGTCCTCATCAGCAAGGTTACAGTCCCTTGAAAATACAAGAAGTCAACCTATTGCCCTGAAACTAAAATCATGTACAGTTGCTATGACATCTAGCATTCTAGAACAGCCAACCATCAGCATTGCCTTCATAATCCCAAAAGAAATCACCTCCTCCTGCAGCCTGAATCATAGAATCGAATCATAGAATCATTTAGGTTGGAAAAGACCTTTAAGATCATCCAGTCCAACCATTAACCTAACACTACCAAGTCCACCACTAAACCAATTAAGGGGAGAGTAGCAATTTCATGTTTCCTGGCTTGGTGGCTGGATTGTTTTTTAATGAAAGTAAAAACTAGGAATCATTAAGGTTGGAAAGGATCTCTGAGATCATCAGTCCAACCATCAACCCAAGACCACCATGCCCACCAAACCATGTCCCCAAGTGCCACATCTACCCAATGAATGAATCTGTCACCTTTCCTTATACCTTAAGCTAAAACAAAGTTGGTGCAAAAGTACAATTTATTTAATATCTTTTGTACCTGAAGAAGTGGTTGTTTCCCCACAGTATTCTGTCTCCATGATGTAGCTGGATAGGACACACGACAGCAGAACCATTTACGAATGTCCTGTGAAAAGGCAAAAATCTAAAGCAAATGCATCTATATAAAGCTTTTTTTTTTTTTCCAGTACTACTTTCTTTATTGTAACTAGTTAAGGTAGGAGAACAGGTTTATGGATTGCAAAGAAGCAAAATATCCCCGGAAACTTTATTCACCTACCCTGTGCTGTTTCATAAACTCCTCAAACTTAGCTTCTTTTGATTGCTTAAGCTTATCGAGTTCTGTACTTTTGGATAGATATTATGACAGCTATGTCTGGGGAGTATAATTAGAGCTTAAAAATGAGGGGCCCAAAAAAAGATGATGTCACTGGGAATAAACACTTTTCACACTACTTTGAAATAGAGACACAAAATAGAAACATTTGAATAAGACATCACAGAACTTTGCTATATAAATAGCTTAAAGACAATAAACTAATTAGAATAATCAGAAGCTACTTTTATTTCAGAATCAGATTAAGTCTGAAAATAGGATCATAGAATAACTCAAATTTGAAGGAAATCTCAGGATGTCATCTAGTCCAATCTCCTGCTCAAAAAGCAGAATCAACTACCAATCAGGGTAAATGTGAAATTCTTGAATTTTGTGCATCTAAAAAAATTATTGGAGATGCTGATGATGCATGTCGTTTCACGACCAATTTGAATATGCCATCTGCTTTTCAAGTACTGCTACTTAATCAAATAAAGCAACAAATGCTTCAGCAGCTCTTTGCATATCAACAGATTTCCTAGAAAATTAATTCAAATTTTGATAGAGTTACATCTACACAGCTGCGAATCAGTGAGTATCTACTTGCTGAAAGCATAGGCAATTTACTCATCCTCTCTTTGAAAACTTAGACTACAGACACCATCACCAAGAGAAATCTCTTTAGAACGAAAGATATGAGTTGACAGAGGCGTAGATGACAATTAAAACGTAAAAGCAGGATACAAGAAGTACAATTTTCTTACTTCAGACTACATGGAAAAGTTCATTTTTTAATTATCTTTTTGCACCACTAATCATAAAATACTAGATAGAACTACAATTATTATACAACTGGAGCTGTATTTTATTCCTTTACCTAGTATTTTTTTGAGGTGTTAACATAACCTGTCCTTCTGGGGTGATGTCTATAATGCAGTGTTCAGGAAGAATTCCCATTCCACACAGCTGGATATCTTGAGAGTTGTCTGAGCCTATTAACGTGTGCTCCTGGGAAAAATTAATTAAGATGTTAGCAATGGACTGCAGAAGTTCACTAGTTCTAACTCATCCATTCTCCTTCTGGATATATCTTGTCATCTAGCTCCAAAAGTTGAGAGCTGTTCAATACTTAAGAGTGAAAAAGGAGAATGAAACATTGCAAGCAAATCCTTATCCTACGGTAACAAGTAGGGAGCACTCAGGAAGGTTTACAGGCAACAGTTAAATCCAAAGATGAAGAGGTTTCTATAACTTAATTGTGGAATTCAATGCCTCGGCATGTTGTAGAAGCCACAAGTATAAAGGAGTTCAAAGAGGAATTAAGACAGGTTCACAGTGCTCAGACCTACGGCTGTTACGCAGGTTCCATCTAGATCATCCAACAACTTAGGAAATTCCTGAAGTACTCGAGGCATGAGGGATTGGCAGAGGAAGGATCACTCCACACATGCCCCAGTTCATCCATTTTTTAGGCATCTCTGAGCAATTTTTGAGGAACAGATACAATAGTTTAGATACATCAGATCAAGTTGTTCTTTGGTGCTTATAAGAACTAGTACATACACAGCTCAGCATTAAAGAGAATGTGGGCAAGATATTTACTCAGAGAAGCAAGAGTTTAACTGCAGAATTTTAGGCAAAACAGCTGTAAGTCATTTCATCGAAAGAATTTCAAAGCACAGGGATTTCTACACTGAAATTCTCAACCAACAAAATGAATTTGTGTTATTTAAAAAAAAAAAAAAAAAAAAAAGACTAACTGAAACACACAAAACCTACCCCAAGCAAAGGGGTTTTCTCTAGAAAAGGAAAGTAGCACAGTACCACCTGAGACTTTTCTGCTGGTACTGATGGGCCAAGGGCTGTTTTCTGAGCAGGCTTTGTCTTCAGCGTACTCTCGTCATGTGTTCACAATGAACACCACAGAAGCCGGCTCTGCTGCAATAGCTGTCAGTGTCGAGGCTGATTTAGCAGCTTGAGTCACACTCTGGACACCTACGTGCAAGGCGCCTGGAAAGGATTCAAGTCTTCTTCCAAAACCTCAGCTCAGCTCTTTTGTCCTTTTTAATGTTTTTTAGCAATACAAACAACACTGAGAAAGTTCTTTCCCTTGCTTTCACTGAGATATCACAGAGTGACTATGACTGATATATGAGGATCACGTCTTTCCTAAGACCGACTAAACCAAAACCATCTTTCAGCCCAATTGCTAATGCTGTGGCTGTTTTGAGAGTTACTACAGACCACTTCAAACAGAAGAGAATGATCTAATGTGAAGCTCAAACTGCCAACATTCTTACACTGCTAAACTTTTAGAACTTGTATTCTAAAATGTGACTTAAAATGGTTGTATCTCCTTTCCCCTCCTGACTCCAGATCATGTCTACAGTGTGTTAAACTAGAATAAACTGCTCAAATGTTTCAGTGCAGAGTCCAAAAGTCACGGTACGTGTTTGATGTTTAACGTCAGTAACGGGGACTGCACATCAGCAACGGGGACTGCACATCAGCAGAAGTGCTAAGGCAGAACATAACTTGATTTTCCCTCCTGGCAAGTTGCATGAAGAGGAATAAAAATGCTTTTTATAAACTGAAGTCAGTACTACACATGTAGAAGCAAGCTGGTTACTGATATGCCCAGATAAAACACCTTTCTGGGTAAAACCTTGCGAAAGCTGGCATAAAAAAACCCCCCTAGAAGACAGTTTATAGAGAGCATCTCTAAATTTCTTTTAAAAACCAAAACAAAAACATAAAAGCCCCAAACCTTCCTCTGATACAAAGAATTAGATTTGAAATAAAAAGGTTGTACTCATATTATTTTTAATGAGGCAGTGAGTATCAGAGAAAGCTTTAGATATGCAGTTTTTACAACATTCTCTAAGTACACCTCTACCAATGGCATTAGAAGCCCACTTCCATTAAAAAAAAAAATATATTTTTATATATAGATCAGTATTTATTTTTACCTTTAAATAGTATACCAGAAGTTCATTGAGAGCTGGATCTGCATTCAAATTAACCAGGAAGCACTTATTATCCCCAACTTTTATTCCAGAAGACTGAAGAGATATGCCAAGACTTTCCAACTGTTTCTGACGCTCCTGCAAGAGAGTAGCCATCAAAACATTAAGCTGATTGACATTCAGCCCTTCGGAAATGCATTCCTATCTGCCAAAGCCACAAGACAAAATGATGGGCAGCTACTTCTTGAAAAAGGTAACTCTTTCTTCTGCAATAGATTAAGACACAAAAGCCTTAGTTCTATCAAGCTTTGATCAGGGTATCTGTAATTTCTCCTGTCCTTCCACCTCTGGTCTCAGAGGGCTACGTGCTATGGTCTCAGAGAGTTGCATCTTCCCAGTGAAAACCGCAAACAGCTGAGAGCAGCACACTGCAGTACTGTAGGAGCTTCTCCATGACCTCACTGGAACAGCAAAATGCTACCACAAAGACATCTCTAGAGCCCTTTATTTTTTTCTTTTGAGCTAAAAAGCAACAAGTTAAGTTAAATCCCTGCCAAGACAAGCTCCATGTCTATCTTTTATTCCAGAGCAATCAAAATGACAAAAAACTGGCAACCTGCTATTTAAGTAATGCAAATAACACTTCC